TATATATATATATATAAATAATATATGCACACACACATAGATATATATCATTTCCTTGAAAGTTATAATGTTATATTTACATCATATTATATCGATAATGGCATATCTGTCTTCTAGTATTGGAAGTGATTTTAGAAATATACATTGCTACGGTATGCTATGGCTTCTTTTTATTCTCTTCTAGAAACTGAAGTACTCGCTGGTATACTTTCGTTGGTTCCACTCGCGGCACCTATGGCATAGATTGAAACATTTACTTAATAGATACAAATCTTGCTTATATCATTTTCAATTGAATTAATTTAAAGGAGATACGATCGATAAACAAAATTAAGTACCGTTTGTAAAGAATTAGTGACGATTTATGTATATTTATTTTGTCATATATAAACTAATTAAAGTGCAAACATTTCTTATTGGATTTGCCTACCTCATAATTTTGGGCTATGTATATTCCGGCGTATACTCCAATACTCAGACTGATCTGCAAATCATTAGAAGAAGTTATAGATAAAATGGTCTTCAAAATCACGAGAATCATATGTTTTTACATACCAGAAACCGAAGCATATTGAGGGTTCTCAAAACAGACTTAATCAACCAGTGAATCTTACTTGCTGACACTTACGAAATACTGCTAAACATTCAGATAGAAGTGCACTGACGTACGCTCAAACGTCAAGCATTAAACACGCGCGAGCATGATAAGAAACAGGATGGAAAGCCGTCAGGATCACTAGTTATTTTCAGTTTGGTTAACTTTACTACTAGATCTAGTTATTTCTGATGCTCGTTTTAACTAGAACTGAAAGAGGGCGCAACTTTTATTTTTTAATTTTGCACGAAACATTTTTCTCATCTTATTATTCAAATATTTCATTTAACGAGATTAATAAATTAAAATGTTTGCACTTCTATAAATAATAATTTTATATTTAAGTAACATGAAAATATAATATGCTTTCTACAATAAGCCATTATCAGTTTTAAGCCATAAGAAATTGACCAATCACAGTCAAATGTGTGAGAAGAATAATAAATTGTAATTAGTCAATTTCTTGTGACTTAAGATTTAAAGATTAGGTAAGGGCTTATTATATAGCCCATAAAATTAGTGTTATGACTGAGGAAATGTTGCATATAGTTACTGTTTGATTTTATTACGTACAATTTGCCTTCAAAATATATGTATAATATTATGTTGAGAGTAATAACGTAATACATCACAAAGACAGAGAAGAATTCTTAGCTTGATCTAATAAATTTGTGAGGACTTTTTTTATAAAGAGATAATATTGGTATGTATAATCTACTTCTTAAAAGGAATCATTTTCTCATAAGAGATTCATTTAAATGTATGTAAGGTCAGTATCGCTTAATAAACTACAAAAGTAAGACCTTTATCATCTAAGAGATTTTTGTCGTTGAGAGTGACGTTATTTTTTTTATTAATGACAAAAAAGAAACACAAAAATTCTAAAGTTGTATCCAAAATAGTTCTGAATCATTTATAATAAAAATTAGCGAAGATTCAAAATTTGAAGACTGAGAATTGCAAACATGTGTGTGTGTGTGTGTGTGTGTGTGTGTGTGTGTGTGTGCGCGCGCGCGCGCGAATGGTCTAATAACCATCTTCGTCATCTTCATCCATGGCGAAGTCACTACCAACTCCGGAATCCGGCACGTAGAGAGGGCTGCAAAACAAAATCACATTACAAGTTGAAAGAAAGAAAAGAAAGACAAAAAATGTCTTTTTCTAGAAACTTACTTTATCGCTCTGCACGTGAAAAATACGATGCGCTTCAGCTTTTTGTTGTAGAAGAAATAATTGAAGGACCACAGACATCCGTCTTCCCCAAAAGGATCTGACGCGAAGTCTGGATTGTAACTGTAAAACATTCTTTTACATTATTTCATATTATTCTTATTTAAATAATTTTACACTTATTCCTACTTGATGCCATAGGACAATTTAATTCAGTGTTCAGAATCTGTGTGTACCTTCTACTTTTTATATTAGAGCAAAATGATTGTGATCAGGTGTTTTACCTGTAAATATCACACCCATGCAATGATATCTCTTTGTCAACAGCCGCCCAAAGAGCGGAACGTAATGATCGATAATGATCGCCCGCGGTAGCGTTGAGATTACCATCCACTGCATTCATTACCCACTGTAGACTTGGTTCCTTGCTGAACTCGTGGCTCTTAGCATCTGAGAAATCATAGTCCGGGTTAAAGGTTGAATTCAACGTGGCGATCAGATAAAATAACGTTTTTTTGCTGATCGTGTCGCACAGCGGACCCTCTTCGTCACCGGAAACGCTACGACTGTAAGAGGAAAATGTGTTGTGATATAGTATTATCAACTTGTGACTAAGACCATTCATATTTAAAACCGTTTAAATTTTAAGATGTCGTAAACCAAGACTGGTAATCCATTCTGATTTTAAATCCATTATGATATTCATAATCTATCCTAAATAATATCTTAAAATACTAATACAGCCTTCTGATTGGCTTATGACATCTTAAGACAGTCTTAGATATAAGAATCGACTATGAATACTGATCTAAGATTTATTTTAAGATCATCTTAAGTAATGTCTCATTTCTACAATAAATCATTATCTATGTCTTAAGCCATAAAAAATTGATCAGTAATTATTCCTCTCACATTCGACTGATCAATTTCTCACGACTTTAGATTTAAAACTTAAATAACGATTCATTGTAGAGTACATATTAAGATGCTAATACAAAAAGAAGAATAGTATCTCAAGACTACTACTTAAGACGATTAATTCTTGTAATAAGAATTAATATCAACTTAAGCATACAAGAGATGCATGCAAGAGAGTATGCATGCAAGAGATAACAAAATCTTATCCTGAAAATTAGTTGCATCAGTGCGAGATAATTTAATGTGTTTAAATCGACTGAAATTCATACAAGTACAAATTAATAATAGGTATTTTTCGAAGGTACGAGTACCTCAAGCATCCCTGAGCTGGAGATGTTCCCAAAGATGTCTGCGGTGGTGATAAAGCTTGTAAATCGTGTGGTGTACCACCCTGCTCTGCATTGTACCGTTTGTACATTTGCTTGTCATTGGCTGTCATTTTGCAAGAATAACTTTCGATCCTGCAATGATAAAGATGCAATAATAAATAATAACAAAATGATTCAAGATAATGGATGCTTCTCACTTATGTCTGTTTCCATCAATGTAGATTAATCTCAATTCACCTTCTATATTAAATATCTTAATATTAAATATCTATATTGATGGAAACGGACATTGATGATACAAATCAACACAAACATTGATTCTGTCTTTCTTGACATTCAATGACATTCAACAAAGATAGAGCAACACTTATGTCAAATGGAAAACACTCATAATAGAATGAATTTAAGTATAGCCTCCATTTGCATTACCTCCCGATTATCTTGCTATCTCCGGTCTTGATGGACAAGGCACTGTTTATAGCTTCCAAATGGGTATTCTCCAGCAGCTTCATCCTGCTGACAACTGCGATCTTTCTAGTTACACTGTAAACTGTGGCTCCTGCCTTGGAATGCTGGAAAACTAGCGTTGTGTCAGTATCTCCCCGTCAATTGGGCTTACCCGACTTACAACGTTGACATCTCGTGATTCTTGGAGCCCTTGTCACTCGCTGTCCAGGCGATTTTAGATACGTTTTTTTGCTCAAATTCTCAAAAGCTAGGCCGTTCAGTACAAGCGAAACGTCAAGAAGCTTCTATAACTCCTTTGACTTATCGGGTTGCTGAACATCTCTTTTATGTGTATGAAAATTCCTTTCCTTTTCGAGTGGACGAGATTAATTGTCGACGTAGTGGTCTTCCCGGCTTCCTTGCTGTACTTGCACATTACAGATAGCTAGTTAAGGATTTAGGGGAAGGTGATCGAGTTCCAGAGCGGGCTTTGTTGAACGTGAGATCAAGGCTCTTCACTCCTAAAGGAGTACACAGGTGAGTCCTTAACACAGTGCACTGCCCGCTTGATAGAAGCCGAGTGAAAGAGGGAGACAGAGAAATACACGATATATGGGGGAGAGAGAGAGAGAGAGAGAGAGAGAAAGAGAGAGAGAGACTGAGCGATGACGCGACGCGAGACGCGACGAATCTGTCGATAAATAAAGGTGCGCTTCTCCTTCGAGATTACGAGATTGAGCTCTGGAATAAAAAAATTATCGTCTCTCCGGCGAAGGCCGCGCGAACGAACGCACACACACACGCGCACACAGGCGGAAGGACAACTTCTCGCGGTGTTCTTCGAATTGACAGGAGACGTCAGATTTCAACCTCGAGCTGCTTTCTTCTCGCTCGGAAGAAAAAGTGCGAGAGAGAGGGATATATATATATATATGTATGCCGAGAAAGACACCGTGCCTCACGCGTAGCGCCCGCTACTGACGATAACAATCCATAATCACGGACATTGTCGCTTCGCTATGGCTGATACGTATCACGATCACTATAAGAAACAATGTACGCCTCCTTCTGAGAAACTTGTCGATCTCGTCGAACGCGTCTCCTGCACAACAACTCTGACAACGCACTCGACCTTCCTCGCGCGCGAGCTCGACCAGTTTACCAACTCTAAACTCTAATTGCGACTCGGTGTCAGCCCGCGTTCACCGCACACATAGAGACGCGTCAACGATGTGTATATGTATGTATACACTCGTGGATTCACGTACATACACAGACGCTCGTGTGAGTGCGCGTGTTGCCCTACGTACGTGACAGAAATAGCAACAGCATCGGCAGGGGTGGCGAAGGGAGACTGCGGGGAGACGTATCGTATCGCTCTCTCGCTCGCTCGAATGACTTCGGTCTCGCTTGTACGCCTTCATCGCGCCGTGGGTGGGGGAGGCACGCGTACGCGCAGCCAATCGCGTTACGTCAGCGACGCGCGCGCGTGTACATGACGCGCTGCGGATGGCGCGCACGCATGCATGTATATGTGTGTGCAAGCCGTGACCGGGAGGCGGGAGTTTGTCTCTTTTTGATCAAAACGGAACATCGACTCTTTCTCTCTCTCTCTCTCTCTCTCTCTCTCTCTCTCGGCTGCAACTCTTGCACTCCCTGTTTGTTGAAACGAGACGATTGCATGCGAAATGTAAACAGGAACGAAGGAGAGGGAAAAAGACCACAGAAGACGACAAAATCCACAATTTAAAACACGAAGGCTCGATTCTACTAATGTAAGATTTTAACTTTAATTTCAGTTTGATTTATTGTTTATCGTCTTCTCTAATTATTTTGAAATGAAAAAAAGATAAAGAGTAAATTGAAGCGAGATTAAAATTATTATTTGTTCTTTCGTTAATTTTTAGAATTATACTCATTTTTATCATTATAGATTAATCTTGGTTTAACTTACATTTTATCTTTTTCTAATTCTAGGAATTAGGATAAAGAATAAATTAAACCGAGATTAAAATTAATCTACATTATTCTTAAAAGTGGACATTTAGTATTAAAAAAGGATAAAGAATTGATCCGAGATTAGAATTAATTTTACATTAATGGAACCAATTAGTCGAAATCCATTTACGAATTAGTGTAGCCTATCTTCGGATTATTCATGTTAAATATAAAAATTTAATACAATTTTTCAAATTAACAAACATGTCATTACAGATTCAAGATAATATAATTAAATAATACATCAACAAAGATTGAAGATACAACATAAAGGATGTAGAAAAAAGATTAAATAATTAACAAGCACATCTTTTAATAACTCTGTGATGCTATTTTAAAACATCTTTTTATATAATAAAAACATTCTATATGCATAGTGTGCATATATATGTAGCGATTTAATCATGGCGCACGCGTCGGCTCGGCTGTATTTATTTGGAGCGATCTTAACCTCGCAAAACTAGCACAGGCTCCAGCAGGATCAGCGAAATGAGGATGGTGTGACAGCCTGTCGTAAACAGGAGCTTCAAAGTTTATTTAATCAAAATTGGTCAAAATGTCGAAACGAAACAGCGACTACGTGGTCACGGAGCACCGCGACTTACAGGTTGGTCAACAAAGTGTCGTGTCTTCTCCTGTGAGAAGTAACAATTCTTGTTGCACCGGAGAAATGAGAATTTATTTCGTGTTTTATTTAGGCTAACACCATGGCAGTAGATGCGACCGGCAATTACGTTCTGTTGGCCGGGTAAGTAATTCTTAAAAATCAACGATTGCTTACGGCAAATATTTAATAATATTTATTAATTTATAAATAATTAGCAGCCACACACAAGTCTTTGTGAAAGAAAGAGATTACCTGAAAAGCACTGTTGAAACTCATATGTTTTATGTAAAAAAAATATGAATTTAGTTACTGTACTTTAAATTTATGGCAAATATTTAGTAATTTTTATTAATTTATGAATAATTAATATTCAAGTTTTTGATAGAATAAAATTATTTCAAAGTTTAAATTATTTAAAATTATTCTTGAAACTTACGTGTTTAATGTGTGAAAAATATCATTTAGTCTATTATTGTGTTTTAAATATTATTTTTTTATATTATTATTTTTTTTTATTGATACTAAATAAATACAAAAATTTTTCTCTAGGCGCAGATACTTAGCCGTGAAACATTTGGACGAGGATGTAAATACGGTGAAGAAGTTTCAGCGACAGAGTAAATATGAGGTTGGCTCTGCCGAATGGAACCCATGCGATTTAAATTGTCACTTGTGTGCGATTTCTGTAAGATTCTATCTATCTCCTATACACAAATATATGCAAATATATCACCAAAAATTTTATATTATTGGAAACATAGAAACATAGAAAGAATCCAGATAGCATGGCACTTACTTTTTATTTAATGATACAAACATCATTCTATCTTTTTTGACATTCAATAAATAACAAATGACATTCGTACCGATATACTAAATGAAGCACTTAATGTCAGTATATAGTTGCAGTATCAGCTTTTTTTATTATAAAACCTGTGCAATGACCCGAGTATTTTTCATCAAGGACACAATGCAAATACTGACTATAATTAATACTAGCTAATTTATTATTAAAAGGCAGTATAATTAATTATTTATTTGGACTAAAAGTATTGAACAACCACTTTAAAAAGAAATAATTACTGTCTTTTAGTATTGGCATTATTAGATTTCTATAAGTGCATCAATAGGAAAATATTAAATTGGCTAATTAACAATATAGACAATTAGAATCTTGCTGCTTTATACTATATGGAAAAATATATATATGTATTTTGTTATATCTTGTTTTGAAATAATTTTCTTTTAGAGCAACACGCGAATCGAAATATTGAACTTCAGTGGAGCAGGAGGTTACGAGTTGCAAACTACTCAGAGTCTGAAAGCCCACACACGGGTAGTTAGTGATTTGAGTTGGCATCCTAAGGAACCGGATATCATTGCTTCTTGCAGTATTGATACATTTATACATATCTGGGACATACGAGATCAGAGAAAACCATGCTTGTCTTTGTCTGCAGTTGGTAAGATGGAAGATATAATAAAAGGAAGATACTTGATTCTTTTTTGACTGAAAAAATAACAGTTTTTATGTCTTTCCTAGCGGGATCATCCCAAGTATGTTGGAATCCACTGTCATCTCATATCTTGGCCACAGCGCACGATGGAGATGTCAAGATATGGGACCAGCGGAAGGCAACGAGTCCTGTGCAGTATATAACAGCCCACTTGACAAAAGTATGACAAGTTTATTATATTGTTTATTACTAATTAGTGGGTTTTGTAAAAAAATATTCAAATCAATGTAAAATTTTAGATACATGGTTTAGATTGGTGTCCCTTTCAACAAAATCAATTGGCAACGTCGAGTCAAGACTGCACCGTTAAGATTTTCGATATTGTCAACCCGCGTAGAGCCGAGAGTATTTTAACGACAAATTCTCCTGTATGGAGAGCAAGATATACGGTAGGAACATAGATGTAGAATTTAGAAATTTTTATGTTGCAATTGTACTCCATATGATACATTATTCGTAAATCTGTTTGCAGCCCTTTGGAGAGGGTTTAGTGACGATAGTGGTGCCGCAATTACGACGTGGAGAAAACAGTCTTTTATTATGGAACACGTCAAACCTCAGTGCGCCAATATATACGTTTGTAGGCCACACGGATGTTGTGCTTGAATTTCAATGGCGGCATTTAAAACTAGGTTGTTATATTGAGAAATTTTTGAAAATATATTATAGAAAGAAGAGAGTTATAGAAAGTATATCGCTATAATTCTATTCGTATCTACTTATAGAAAACAGCGAATTTGAACTTGTTACATGGTCCAAGGATCAATGTTTGAGGATATTTAAAATCAGTCCATTTATAAAAAAAGTAAGATGCGATTTATGTTTCTCACAATTTTGAAGTATCCAAATTGCAAGCAATAAAAATGTTTCTTCAAAGGAACTACGCGGCTTATGAGTGATCTTTGTCATGATACATTATTAAATATCATAATATTTATTGATATATTAAGACATGAAAATAACCGCATAATTCCTTTGAAGAGAATACGTGGAAGCTTCAGAAATATTAAGAAATATTTCTTATTTTCAGTTATGCAGCAATGGTATAGATGATGGCCTATCAGTCTACAGTCAGTATTCCGAAGAGAATAATTTAAGTACGTAGAACACATTGTGAGATATTTGTGTGATAAAATTTTTTTTGTATATAAGAAATATTTTTGCAGGAACTCTGCAATCCGTCCAAGAACTGCAGCTGAACACTTCTCAGAGCGAGCCTGAGATAAATTACATTACGACCAAAGTGGACGAACCTGTGCCGCAATCTGAGACGATCAGCCTTCCAGACAATTCCAAAAAAGTCTCGTCTCCTACTCAGCCAAAGAGTTTGCAGCAGGAATTTTCTTTGATTAATATGAATATACCAAATATAGAGGTAATACTTTAGATACATGAAAGATGATACATGAAAGAGACCAGATGATTTGAAATAACTAACATTTGCGTTTTGTTTTAGGTAAACGCGATGGACGTAGTGGAGAGGAGTTGTACGATAACCGCGTGTACAAAGAACTACAATGTGATATTAAAAGTAAATTTCCCCGTAAATTATCCATGTAGCGCACAACCGACATTCCAGTTTTGCCCCGGCACAACGATCGACAACGCGACAATGACTAAACTGCTGAAAGTTCTCGTGCAAACTGCTCAGCATCGCGTCAAAAAGAACAGATCATGCTTGGAACCATGCCTCCGGCAACTAAATATAACTTTAGAGCAAGTAAGCGAATCTTCTCTTCGAATTAATCCTTAACATCACATGGGAATAACTTCGAATCATTTCAATATAACATACCCAATCGATTGCTTAGAATTTTCATAAAAATAAACATATTGTAAGAAATTATTTTTAATTAAAACGTCAAGCATTAAGAAACATAATGATATCAAACAAATATATATATCTTTATTAATAAAAAAAAGTTATAAGCAATGGAAAAAGAAAACTAGATATGCCATATCGAAAAAGTATTTAAGGATTATTATCAGCATACAAATAAAAATTTTGATTTGTGTTGTGTTCAACAGATGTGCAAGAAAGACGAGGACGAGAGTGGACACTTATATCACATGCAGGATAATAGTAATTTCTTGAGCTCCCCCAATATCTGCGCGAACTATCAGGACTCCTATATACCATTTCCTAGAACATCCGGTGCTAAATTTTCTTGTGTGGGTGCGTATACGCTCTTCTTTCAACTTTGCGTTCTTCTAATCGTTTTCTGAACAGGTATCCTCGTTTGTTTCGGCCGTCCTTCCTATGCGAGAAGATCAATGATGAAACCGGGAGACGCGACACCCAGAGCACTGTCCGCCTTGGACAATAGCATCGGTAACGGCGAACCTTTCATACACATGTACCGAAGTTCCTATGTGCCAACTAACGATAACATGTCTATCAGCTCATATTATTTTCAAGATCGCGTAAGAAATATTTAAATTGATATAAACAAGAATAGTAATATATGTATGTCATATATACGTTATTTATGTAACTGCAATTTATCAGCAGAAGGATCTTCGACGTGGATTGCATGGGGCGGGTAGAATGCATGATCGATCGTACTTCAAGAATTGTCATCCGATGGTTATCATATACGATGTTTCGTCATTATTCTTTGTCAATAAAGAGCTTGCCGAAAAATATACGTGAGTACGACAATTATATACGTTCTTCTTTTTAAGGCTCTTATTTGGATTTCCAATCCACTAAGGATCAAGGATCCAGCGATAATTTCCTCGGAGAGCGGAGGCCTTGCTTGTTTAAAACTTACAATTATTATAATATCATTTCAATTCAAAGTAAAATATTCAAATAAGTTCCTTTCGTATAATTCGCAACGGCCTTAAGCCTTCTAACTTAATCACAGATCAGCAATAAATTCCTTAAGTATAACACAGAGTCAGCGGGAAATCGCGAAATGTGATACGCGGATGGAATCGAATCTGGACTTGTAGATTATGAATCCGCGGATCAAGTGAGGAACCATCCGACGCCTCAATTATATATGTTGTGCAAATATTGTAATATTTTATCAATGAAAATATTTTATTTCTTTTTAGAATTAACACCGCTGATATTTCATCTATGTATCAGCACAATGCAAACGTGACTGCTACGTTGGAAAGATCCGACTTAACTCAGACTTGGTGTTTAGCTGGTTTAATCATTTCGCCGCCACCATCCAACACTGAGCAAAATTCTTACCAATCAAGTCATTCTCCTGATATCAATGCTCCATGGCCTTTACATCCTTGGGGCCAAAACTTAATTCATTTCTTGTAAGTATTATTTTTCATTTTGTTATATTATGTATTATAACAATTACAAAACAATTATATTCGGAAAAAGAAGATATTTGATCCAAATAATATTAAATTTAATAATGGAATAATTTTTAATTAATTTAACATTTTCTGTTCAATGAAGATTTAAAATTAATATTAAAATAATAAAATTAATATTAAAATAATAAAATTAATATTAATTTTTTAAATCTGTTAAACCTTAAAAAATCAAGGATCATATTTGAAAATAAAATTTAACTTAAATCTTTCCATAGCTTATTGATTATTTTAATTAATCGATTGTATCATTTTTATTTTATATGTAATTTCTGTTTTATTTAGAATACAACATTACGCTAAGCAGTCTGATGTTCAGATGGCCGGCATGCTGAGCTGCGCACTTAGCTATCGATCCGAGAACACGGACGCTTTGCAAACTAGACTGACCAGTAAATCCGTGAATGTCAGTGTAAGTATACAGTTTGTATGAAAGAGCAAGAGGCGCAGGTTGTATATCACTTGAAAATTTCTCTTCATGACACAACTACTTTGTCCCGCAAAGTAGAAATTATATGTACATTACACCAATCACATTTTCGCTTTCTACTTTGCATACGCATTTCTTAATATTTGTTAAGAATAGAAACTTTTATGCACAGCACAGTGTCTCTTTCTGCCGATGCATGAGGGAATTTATAATGATTTTTTTTAAGTGATGTGTAATTTGTTTGACACGAATATGGCGACGGTACAGTATGCATATTTAATCATAAATAATATTAATAAATACATTGCATTTCAACTGATTCAGTATTCAGATATTATTCACAATTTTAAGAGAATTTTTTGAACCACGTACGATGATTAAAAATTTAATTTTTGTACATCATTTTATAATAGATGTACACAGGCTTTCCAGCAACGGAACATAATCGTACAATGTGGATTTGTAGCTGATTTGAACGTTGCTTAGTTTTTTATTTCACTACTAGAATGAAATAAAAAAAAAGGCCTCATACATTTATATTTGAACATATCTGAATATAATCTTAAAAGCTCTTATCAAAGAATTCTAAAAAAATAAATAGCAATAAAATATAAAAATTTGATATTTGTAAAATAATATAAAGCGACACAGCAAATACAGCGATTTTATCGATTTGTGTCATAGTTAGAAATTTAAGTACAGAACTATATACTGTGTTACACAATGTTATGTAACACATATGTATGATTGCTTGCGTATGTTGCTAAAAAGCAACAACATACTGTATTGGCATACATAATCTTTTTTAATTATATTTATCATTGTATTTATCACCGCTAACGATACAATGTTACGTTTGTTATAGAGGCTTTCCGTAGGAAAATGGTGGTTAAAGGTAAGATTTCTGAGTTTTGTTAAAAAAGTTTTAACAGTTTTAACAGTTAAAACAGTAAAAGCGTTTGGAATATTGGTTTTTAGGATTCTCTGTTTTGTACATTTGTCTATATCTTGTGTTCGTCTCTCGGCATCGGACCGAAAGTGTTACCACCGAAAATGGATGGATTTGTTTATTATAATTATAATCTAGGCATAAAGTTTACGTTACATATGTGTAAGGACGCGATAAAGAAAAAGAAAAAAAATAACGTATAATAGCGCGTTATTTTTGCGAAAGCTAATTAAAGTTAAACGACATGTGCTGTTTGCATAATGAAGTTACGCATACCTCATACAAACTAATTACCATATAGATACTAATATTAATTATTTTGTGTAATTATATTTTGTGTGTGTGTGTGTGTGTGTGTGTGTGTGTGCGCGCGCGCGCGCGCGCTGTATATTATACGCGTGTGTATTGTGTATATCTCATAGTATATAGCTGATATACGTATTTCAATTGTGAATCTGTTCTATTCAATATATTTTCCTGCAGCCTGGCGGTTCGCCTTATCACACAATACATCTGGCAGATACCACATTAGAAGGATGGAATTTTCAGAATCTGAAGCAACATCGATCGAATTCGTGGTCGGAGTCTTTAGATGATTTAAAAGTCATCCAAGACTTTGGAGACTCTGCGAAAAACATTAAGTATGTTCTAAGACTAAAAATAATATTAATATGTTTGAAAAATATCATAGATATAAAATATATAGATTTAAAATATCATAGATATTTAAATATCTTCTTAGAAATATTTATCATTAATATCATTCGAAATTTCCATGCTTGGGCGAATATATTTCGTACCGCAATATAAATGTTGAATCAAAACGTTAAAGAGAAGCATTTGAGAGCCAACAGGTTGTAAGTGTTTTATTATATACATTATTATAAGAGTATCATAATATATATTATAATTACACACTTTATTATAATTACACACTTATAACCTGTATTAGCTTTCAAAGGTTTCTCTTTAAGTTTTGATTTACTCATTAAAGCGTTTATTTGAATTATTTGATAAATGCTGAATATTTTATGCAGATTGTTTGATGAGAAATATACGGCCTTATATGATGGTTACAAGAAGGCGTATGCCGAGGCGTTGCACAGGTGGGAGCTGTTGGATGCTCGGGCGCATGTGTTGAAACATCTAAGCGCGTCCTCGAACAATGTACAGAAGGACGTTGAGTTGCAGAATGAGTGTCGAATCTGCGGCAAGATTAGTCCAGGTCCACAATGTGCTAATTGCAAAGGGTTAAGCTTCCAATGTATCGTTTGCCATGTTACAGTCAGAGGTTCGTGGTCTTTTATATAAGAGCTAAACTCAAGAAGTATTTTAATCTCAAATAAAGTTAAAAGTTTTGTTTTCGTTGAAAAATCTAGGTGCGAGTAATTCCTGCATGTTTTGTGGTCACGGTGGACACATCGAGCATTTAGCCGCGTGGTTTGCTAAAGAGGTAGTATGTCCCACGGGCTGCGGCTGTCATTGCTTGCAGGAAAATTCAGTACTATTTAAAGTATAGATAATTCTTAAAATTTAGATAATATAAACGAAACTGTACATAATCATGATCTGTGATAGTTATTGTTATGAGAAAAGAATAAAATGCATTTTATTCTACGTATTATTGATAATTCTGTCTAAAAAAAAATTGATTGACCAAAGATGAATAAAAAGTTTTTATGTTATTAAAACATAAATTAGACTCTTAAATTATTGTTGGAAGTTATCGGTATAAAAAAAGAAAAAAACACTTAATGTTTCAAATACTTTATAAAATCACAATTTCGTAATTACAGTAACAATTTAATTGATGTTTTTTTATAAATTTTTATCGAACAGTGACTAATATCGATAATGATCGGATTTATAAGGACCTTCCACAGGTGTATCCAAATATTTAGCTTGTTCTGGCGTGAGAGTTGTTAATTTCACACCCAAATGATTCAAATGTAACGCTGCGACCTCCTCGTCCAACTTCTTCGGCAGCATATATACATCAATCGAATACTTGTCTGATTTTGTCCAGAGTTCGATTTGTGCAAGCACCTGGTTTGTGAACGAGTTGCTCATGACAAAGCTCGGATGTCCCGTCGCACAACCCAAATTCACCAAACGACCTTCCGCGAGAAGGATAATATGCCTGAAGTTTGAAATATGATTAAGTGAAATTTAACTTATCGAAAGATCCATCCATTAACAATCACAACAGTAGTGTACAAAACACACCTGCCATTCTTCAATAGATATCTGTCCACTTGAGGCTTGATGTTGGTTTTCTCAGCGTTCTTTTCTAGCCACGCAACATTAATCTCACAATCAAAGTGTCCTATGTTGCAGACGATAGCGTCGTTCGGCATGTTCATGAAGTGACGATCCACAATGATGTCCTTACATCCTGTAGAGGTGACGTATATCTGGCCCTTCGTGCTCGCCTCATCCATCGTTGTTACCTGTGGATTACAGATGTTTATTAACTACCTTAAGATCTGACGATAACACTTATCCGCGATAACACTTATTAATTTTAATTTACAATATAATGAGGTACAATAACGTGCAATCAGTAATCGAGACGATAATTTGACAATTTCATAATTCATCGAGTTTCCTTTTTAATGTACCTCGTATCCTTCCATAGCTGCTTGAAGTGCATTGATGGGATCGATTTCTGTGATGATAACACGACCCCCGAGAGCTCTAAGACTTTGCGCAGATCCCTTACCCACGTCTCCATATCCGGCTACCACACACACTTTTCCGGCAATCATTATATCAGTCGCTCTCTTGATACCATCTATCAATGATTCCCTGCATCCGTACAAATTGTCGAATTTATTCTACAAAAAAATATAAGGCCAAGTTAGCTTCGTTACTTATATATTAATAGAGTTTTGTGAATTTAATTTTTTTAATTTCTTATTTTAATTCTTTATTTTTATTTTGAAAAACATTGCAAACTATAACTATGTGAAACATAAGTTTATTTTTGAATGAGCAATGTCATGCATTGCGTCATGATTTCTGCAAGTATTAACGCATTTACAAATTACTTATCATCCATTTATCAGTTCCGTCATTTATCAGACCGTTGTCATTATTTTTTCATAATTTCATATTTATCCTAATTCGTGCAAACAGTGACTATTAAATTCTAATCAAATAATCATTAATGATATTTTCTTCTAATTTATTGACACACTTTAAGCGTCAATTCTATACTGATAGCTTATCCATAAACTATTCATAAACTTGTTAATACGTGATTTTGCTTTCGTGAGAGTATGCAAATACAAACCTTGGTGACGGAGTCGTTGACATTAATCGCCGGCACTTTGAGTGTACCTTCCTTCATCATGCGATAGAGATTGTGTACACCAGTGGTGGTTTCCTCGGACAGACCGCGACATTCCTTGAGATATTGTGGATACTTTGTATGTACAAGATTGGTCAGATCGCCACCATCATCAAGAATCAAGTTGAATGGTTTACCATCCCGGAATACGAGGGTTTGCTCAATACACCAGATATACTCTTCCTCGGTTTCTCCCTTCCATGCATATACTGGCACTCCAGTCTTCACTATTGCCGCTGCTGCGTGATCTTGCGTGCTAAATATGTTACAGGACGACCATTGTACCTGCAATATAAAAATTAATTAATATTCGATTCAGATATTAATTTCTAAATAAAATTAGGGATTTTTATACCCAAAACTATTTTTAAGATTGATAAAATTCTTTCCATTTTAATGTAACATACATATGTACACACACACACACACACA